ACAGGGAATAAATCAAGGTCTTGGCATAGTTAAGGCTCTATTTCTCTCAAAGCAGAACAGGAGAAAACAAGGTGCAAAATTCCCAGAACCCCACCAGTTCAGCCCCAGTTTCTGCAGCAGGCACATTCCTCAGCTTTAAGAGAAAGCAAATTTATCCTGGCTAATTCCAAGAAACCTCACAAAAAAGGCTGGGAACTCATCCTTTCKGAGTTTCCATAACAAATGTTCAAAGTGAACTACTGGGCTTGTGCTTAAAGAGCTCCTGAACTCAAGGCAGAGCATCAGATCAGAACAGAAATCTCTTAAAAGCCATGGCTTCAATGGAAGCAGGAGCAGACTCAGCTCTTCAGCAGCCCAATTATTCCAAAATAATAATTAAAATATATATACCACAGTCAGCTGCCCTCACATTGACTGATGTGAAGTGCTCCCCACTCCTGTTCAATCTACAAAAACTAAAGAATCAATAACTCAAAGTTCTTCCACTTTAACGACTCCATTAGGAAAAGTAAATAAATCTGTAGCACACTGTGGCCATAAAGAATTTAACATTTCATTTTGCAGCTAAGATCACATTCTCTGCCAAAGAAATCAAGATAGAAAGAACAAAATCCCCAAAACCCCTGCTTTGGGTCAGGCCAACACACAGCATTTGTCAAAACTGCAGCTCCCAAACAGAGGAAAAAAAACCAAAAAAATCCAATACCCAGCTTCCAGCGCAGGAAAAAATAGATTTTTTTTTTTCAATAACAAACATATAGGCTTAAGGTCTGTTTGTTGCATAATTTTTACAGTATTTWAATGAAACAAAAATCCAACTTCCTGCAGAATTAGAGCTCAGCCTAACTTAGTAAATCGTGTCTCTGTGAATATCCCACTGAGCCAAGCTGGGTTCTGCCACTGCAGGAAGAACAGATTTAAACCACAACCAAATCCATGCTGTGCTCAGCTCTCCCTGCACTTTGTCATTTCCTAAATCTGGAAAAGCTGAGCTTAAACCCTGCCTTGCTCCCTTCCCTGCCAGCAGGAGAGGGGTGACCCTGATCCCAGAGGGAGAACCCCATCCCCAGGGATCCCAAAGGGATCCCAAGCCCTCTCCTGTCCTTCCCTGGGACAGAGCTCAGTCCCACAGGATTTAAACACAGGGGAGGGACAGGGACAAGCCAACTCTGCCCCCAGCCTCAGCAGTCAAACCCAGCAGCAGATGGGAAAAGGGAATTGTGATTCAAGCAAAAATTCCTGGTGCCTCAAGCCCTTCTGACCACAGGAGCCAAAAGAAGAGTGATGCTCTCCCCTGGAATCAGGGCTCCCTGCAGCTCCCTTCTTCCCAAAGCTCCCTCYTCCTTTCCATCCCCAAACAAAGTAGGGAGGCCAGGGCTGCAGACCCAACACAGTTGCAGGGAGTTGTGCTTGTGGTCACCTCTGACTTCTTTTTTCACCAGAAAAACCCACAAAAACCTGGAGTATCCTCCCCACACCTCCCTGCAAAGGCAAATACCTCAATAAAACTTCTCACTCATAATCCCCTCCTTAAACCATTCAATTCCTTCCAAGAGAAAAAGTGCCAGGAATAATCAAAAGATACTTATTGTGAGCCAGAGCAGCAATTTCAGCTGTAAGGCAAATAATTTCCAAATTACACACACCCAGGTGCASAAAAAAACATTGGTGGTGGTGGTGAACACCAGCAGCAAAGAGAAATATTCAGCTTGGAAATAAAAAATTCCAAGAGCAGCAGTTTGGGAATTAAATTTCACTCACTCCTGAAAAAAAAAACAGCACGACAAGCATCATGAACTTAAATAACCTCCCTGCACRCTGCTCTAATGAAAACAACAAATTAATGCCAATTTCTGAGGTTTAGTTTACATAAATGCCATCAGAGCAAYTGAACTGCCAGAGGGACCCTGTGGACACAGAAAAACAGAGATATAAAACCTATAAACAGAAAAAAAAAAAAAATGAGAGAGCTTCCCCTGCTGCTGGCCTCCTTTCTGGGAATTAATGAGGTTGAATCACCCTAAACCTCCAGTCATTTATAGAGAATAGAGAAATAATTGTAWTTCTCAAATCTGTGTTGCACTGGAGAATCAATTTGGGATTTTAAAGCATTACTACCAACTATCTCACTACCAACTATCAAAAAGCACCCTGGTAATAATCCTGACTGAAAAAGGGAGACCTGAATATCCCATTTACTAAAACTGGAGCAACCCTGCTACCAGAACAGGCTGCAACTCTGCCACCTTCATCTCACCCTCAAAATTTAAAGTGTAAATCAAAACAGGGAAAAAAAAACACCAAACAATTCAATCTCACGAAAGGGGCATGAGGGTAGGTGGTGGAAGTGGAAARGAAGGGAATAAACTAAATTCTACCTGATTGCTTCTCAAAATGGAGAGGGAAAGGGGGATTTTCTTTTTTCCCCTCCAAAAATCAAACCCAACTCCAAACCAAAACCACCTCTTTGGCTTAAGTGTGACCTAAAACCTTAAAACCCCTGAAGTYCATAAAACATTAATACAATAAGTCCCTAAAGCCAGAAGCATCACACTTGTACTTATTCACACCAAAAAATCAGTGCAAGACTTGCAGAATTTGTACCTCATTGCCATATTTGCCTTTTTAAAGAGGCAGCAAAAATAATCTGACTGACAGAGCTGCTGCAACTCCAGGTGGCATTTTACAAAATAAAGTGGCTTTCCCCCCAAAAAAATGCAAAAGTATTTGCAATAAAACAACAGAAGTAGAGCATTCTGAAATGAGAATTGAAGACAAGAGTTATCCTAGTTCTGATGCAGTCTGTAACCAACTCATTTAAAGAAACAGGCACCAAAAAAAAATTTTTAAAAGAAGATTTTTGTGTGAAGACCTGGAGTTTTTGTGAAGAAAGCAGAGCAAGGTGAAGTGAAACACGAGCATTTGTAGGGAATGACAAGGAGCATCTGAGCGGGACACACGTGATCCAGGGGGACTTTCCAAAGCCACTGAGCTCCTTAAAGATCCCAAAGCCAACTATTTTGTCTGTGTAATTAACGTAATTAACAGCATATGTTAATTGCAGTCAAATAAAAACCCTTTAAAATTAATTTTTAAACTGAAATTGCAACCAGAAGTGACCATGCAGCTTTTTATCACTCTGAAAAAATGAAGATGTTAAAGGCACATTAACTATGAACCAATTAATTTCTCTTCCTTCACAATATTAATTAAYATATGAGCAATACAGGAAGAACCAATTACACCCTAAACATTCACTACTGCAAAACAACCCTGCAGGACCACAAGGGTTCTGTAAACAGAAAAAAAAATCAGTTCCAAACTTTCAAATCCTGATTTCCTGTCACTATAGTAACAGCAATTAAACCCTCAAATTACCCACGAACTGAAATACTGCAAACTCCACTTTTAAGCTGTGGAGTACAATCAGTTTCACAAATGCAGATTAACCTTCTAAATTAGTTTGTGCAAATAAATTGCATGTGCACACAGAGAAAATACTCACACTGAAATAACTCYGCTGCCTGTTTTTCAGGCTAAGGCTAAAAATAATCTTTTAAATTGAATTCACTTTCTTTAAGGAAAAGAAATATCCCAAATCTTGCTATACTAAGAATCTGATTTCTATCTACTTTTGCTTTTAAACTTTACTCAGTGGATCACAACGAGGCCTGGGTAAATTTTAGCTACAAATTCCCACGCCTCAGTAGAGGTAAGGATGGCACTATTGAGACAACACCWGCTCTAGAAACATCCACGGATCCAAAACTACACAGCTGCAATTGGAACAACTTTGCAAGTACAAATACACATGAGGACAGTTCTATAATCACCCACCAAAATGTCAAATTCAACACTGAACACTACATGACATAAAAACCATCATTTTTGTCTTTCACACTTTGCTTATATCCCCCACTTAATTCACTTTTAACCTAAGAACTGCTCTCCAAAGCTGCTCATTAATATCCTGATGCTCAAGAACCTTAATTATTAGTAGCTATTAAGAGACTGTGTAACAGTAAGACAGTTGTTAAAGCATTAAAATATTCCTAAATGCCCTAAGTACAAACCTTGAATTATTCATTGCTAATTCTCAACCTGAACAGCCACACTCTGATTGTCTAAGCCACAAAACGGAGACTAATTAACAGCAATTAAATATATTAAACCTTCCACGCCAAAAAATACTCAGTTAAACAGCTTTGGTAACCTAGTACATAGTTAGCTTTGTGTAAATATTTTGCAAACATCCCTTTCCCAAAAATTCCCTATATCCCGCGTGTATATTTATATAMCAATATACAGAGTTCCTGAGTAAATCATTAAGTCTGATTATTCGGAAGATTTGGCAAAATATTTAACTAAAATAGATTTTTAAATTAACATTCAATGAAGACATTAAAATAAATATGGAATGTGTCTTAAAAAAATCATTGTACCATGAACTTACATTAATAACAATAATTTTTAATTAAGTGCATACTATGTTAGAGTGTTACTGGTTTTAAACCCACTGAGGAATCAACAAATCTGATTTCCAGTCCTGAGTGAGTTTTCCATCACCTGCTAACGTGCACTTCAACGCAGCTCACACTGCACTGCTACAAAATGCTTTTTTTTAGTGTAAAAACTGAAGTGGACTGTGCCAGGGAAAAGCTCAGCTCACACTGATTYTGCTGGAAGCTGAAGTGGCAGCAGAACTGCTGAAGCCTCTCCCAGCAGCAGCAGTGAACACTGATTATTCCTGTCAAACCAAGGGAGAACCCATCACAAAAACCAACACCACAGCAGCAGTGTGGATGGCTCCTGACACAGTGATGAGRTGCAAACTGCTCACTGATCCCTTTGGCTCTGAAAAGGACTACATATGGTGCAAAAAATGAAATTAAATAACACCTGAACGAGTATTAAGTACCTTTAAATATGCTAAATTTTCTCAGTAACAAACAAAAAAAAACCAAACAAACAAACAAACAAAAAAAAAAAAAAATAGAGAATTAAGTTCTACCACACTGTGGTTTCTCAGGTCCTGGCCTGACTTTTGGGTAAGCACACGAGGAAATGCTCAGCTATTGTTCAGCTCCTCTGAGCATTACAATTCTCACATAGCAGACACCGCAATATTAAAACTGCATTAACACCACGGGAAGCTGTGTCTCCCCGTATCGGAATCCCAGTACCAGCACTAACCAGGCACATTAATAGACCCTTTTTGCCTTCTGACATCCCATAAAATCCCCCTCCCGCGGTGCTGGGCAGGACCCAAGCCCTTTCCTCCCCATCCTCGGCGCTCCTCTCATTATCCACAATTATTCCAAAATTCTCATYGTTTCTTCAGCTTTTCCACTTCCTCGGCTCTCCTGCTCCACGCTGCTCTCTTCCCGTGCTCTCAGAGGACAGAGTGGCCCTTGGAGTTGTTGTTTTTYGGGTGTGGATTTTGGCAGAGTGAGCTGCAGTGCGCACCAGAGCGCGGTGCGAGCCCCGCGTGTGGCGCCGGTCAGAGCGCGTAGGGCAGCGGCCAGGGCCAGCACATCTGGAACAACAAAACATCTGTCAGACAAGCCTGGAAATGGTGCTAAAAATAAATTTTACATTGTTCATGAATTTGTTCATGTTGCCTTTTGGTTGGTCTTACGAGGCAGATGTGATAAAAGCGTTTTATCGCGGTATTTTAATGGGATCCTAAATGCACGCGCATATAACACGTACACAATCTTTATAGACCTTGTAAATTAGCATCTCTACCTAGAATTCCCCAATAAAAGGCTTAATAAATGAAATAATGTCC